TGGGAAAGCACCTCCGCCCATGAGTGGGCAGCACATATGTATCCACTTTGAGAATCGGAAGGTCCTGAAGGACTAATTGCTCTAAAATATTGTCACGGCAAGACAGAAAAATCACACTGTGCAATGGTATGTGGTAAGACCACTGTACCACTGCAAAAACCGAGAGTAGCGTGCTTGCCAACTGTGATAGGAACATTATCAATGGAAGTAAGATGGGAAAGATCATGGGCTTGATCTGCATTCTGAACTCTAACTATGCACGCACTGCTCTGAAAAGCGTGACAGGATGTATTTTGGCAATGTGTCGTAAAAGAGCCTTACCAATACTGTGGTCTGAAAGATAATCAGTTGGAGATGTTGGTTGTACAGAAAAGAATTTGGTCAACTGTGTACTTGTAAACATGGAGCTTAAAGGAAGTGGGTACATGTGGGTCGTTTCTGGGTGAATGAGCAGAAATCGAACTGTCATCAGCAAATGGTCTGGAACGTTTAGGCGTAGGACCGCAGGCAGTCCGACCTGAGGCAGGTGGCCGATCTGAAAACTGTTGCATCATATTTGGGGAAGCTGAACGTATAGTTAAAGGCATGCAAGAGGCAGAGGCACTAGAAGAAATGGGCAGAGCCTTGGCACCTGGAGTAGGTGACAGTGTCACCAGCAGAAGGTACAGGGGTATAGGAAAAGTCTGGAGAATGTCCAATAACGAAGCCGGGTCAGAACAAGATGTGGTAACAAAAAGAGGCCTAGGAACGAAAACTCCATGATGGTGGAACTTCTTTCTTATATTTTAAAGAAAAAAAAGAAGGAAGAGAAAAAGAAGAGGGACAATGGAGGGACAGTTACTAGAAGGCAAGAAAGGGCTGTAAGTTTCCCCTCTCATCCAAGAGGACCTCGAGACTGCCAGCATTGCAGATGAAGCATGGAACCAGTGTCATACCCTAATCTTCACGCCAGTAAACCAGCGCTCCAGGATAGCAACCTCACACCTACCGAGCCACCTCGGCGGACAAAAGAAGGAAGGTCGGATATCCACTACAAAGCGTACCTCCTTCGGCTGCCACCTCCCAAAACCGACAGGCAGCCTCTGGAGATACACCCGTTGCCTGTAGACACCCTGCCTCACCTCCTGGAAATCCAGGAAGGGAGCAGGGTGCATCCAGATTATCCAGATTCCACGGCAAACTACACCACTCCCGAGGAGCCCCACAGAGCGGGATGAACCATGGCACACTTCTCCCTACCTAGAAACTAATGCCAGAGGGGAGGACCCCAGAGCTACAAACGGGACAGAGAAAAGGGAGGGATGGGAGGGCGGAGTAAAGGGAAAGAGGGGGGTGGGGAGGATAGGATAGGGAAGGGGGGATTAGGAGGTAATTAGGTTCGGTCTGAGGAAGACCAAAAGGTCTAATTCCTCAGACCAAGAGCCTCTTCACTGTGCCAAGGAGCCCTCCTTGAAGAGGACAACAACATATACATGAGAACACGATCACCGAAGATACGCAACAAGTGTCATGCTCATCTAACATAGATTCGGTAGCAATTAGAGAAGTACTTATATTTTACACAGGCGATCTCCTGCTAATGGGTTTTTCATTCCTTTTTTTATCCTGTAATTTTTTTCTCCTCGTAACACCTCTTAAGAAGGTATAAACAATATTGGAAGTTAAAATTAACAAAAAAAGTAATCTAAACTGTTACCTGAATGTATTTTGAGCTATTTTTCTCTATATAAGGGGAATATTTTTTATACACTTTTAACATTAAAACACAACTTTTTTAAATCATACTTAATTACCTTCTGATAGAACTGTACAGTAAATATGTTAAAGGGAAATTTTCATAATTTATTACTGCAATGTTACTTGAATTGCATAAGTGAAAACAGCATCACAAATTATATGTAAGTTTTAATAACAAAAATTTATTTTATACTCCTGAAGAAACAGTTTTAAAGACATTATTAACTTACACACAGAAACACACCAAACACACACACAAACACACACACACACACACACACACACACACACACACACACACACACACACACACACACACACAACAAACACATTCCTGGCTACAACTATAACATTGGGCTGGTGGAACATATGATAAATGGACGTATTTGTTTACACTAAATTTCTGATGCAGACTTAATGTTTGTCTATTAACCAAGTAACTTGCACTGTTAATTTTAACAACTTGTGTTGTTCTGTTTTGACATGTGAATTCCAAATGTGTACAAAGATATATATATATATATATATATATATATATATATATATATATATATATATATATATATATATATATATATATATATATATAATTTATATTGTAAATACTTTTAAAAATGCATAAATTAATTCTCTCAATTGTTTACCTCTAGCATAACCTGTATTTTCTTCAACTTAAAATTTTTAAATATTTACATTTCATACCTAAATTATCTAAACATTCTTAGGTGTTAAATTATCCTACTAACAAATGGGAAATATTGTATTTGCTGTTACTTGTGTCTATATTTGCTTAAAAACATTGGCATTTTTTGTTTGTTTGGATATTTTCTTAAATCTCTGAAAACTATTGATGTTATTCTTATAAAATATTATATTAAAAGGGATTAGTCTAAAACTTTTTAATATTTTTATACATTTTTTTTTAGCTTACTACCTCTGAGTTTTTATTTTAAATCACTTAACATTACACAACCTAAGTCAGTCGTCTAGCAAAGTGATCTATAAATTTGTGCTTGCCGAGAGTCTGCTACCCAAACTAGATTTAACAGTGAAGAATCAATAGAGTTCCATTATGGCTGTTCCCACGTTAGGAAAATAAAACTCTATTGATCTGCTTCGTGAATCTCAGATCAGCTTAAAATCTCAGCTTTCGAGGACTGAGGAATTGGGAAGGAAAGACGAATGTGAGGGGAAAGTTGATGAGCTAATGATAGACAGAAGAGTTGGTAATATGATAAATGATAAACTTTGTTTCTATAAAGTATAGCTTCTAGTTGGTTAGGAAAAGATATTATTGACATACTTCACAGAAAGCCCTTGCTTATGCAGAGCATAACAGACTGAGGGATTGTGGAGATGAACAAGGGTTGTTGGGTAAGGCTTAAGTATGCTGATGAGACGCTGGAATAACGATGAAGCTGGGCTCGGAGCACAAAAACGGCAATAACTATAACACTGGTTCACGCGGAGGACATGGTGCCGATGAGGATGATGGTGGTGGATGTTGTGGTAGCTGTGATGGTGGTGGGAATGGTAGTAGTGATAGTGGTGGTGGTAGGACAGAAGCAAGTTGACACAGTTATCAGTTCGATGAATTATGGTGACGATGGCGCTGAGAAAATGGCGACTGTGATGTTGAAGGTGACGAGGAAATAATTTATCTTCTTGAGGATGAAGGCGTTATGGGTATAGAGTACTTATTAGCAGGGCGGAGGAACCACAAGGCTGACAACTAAGTAACGGAGCTATAAGCGAGTGTGGAAAATAGATGCCATTTTGGTAACGAGAGGACAAGAGAGACTTGTGGAAATCCAAGCCTTTTAAAAAGACACGAGTGTGATATGGTAGTAGAGGAAGAAAATCTGAAAAAATGCAAAGACAATAAACTAAAAAAAATATAAGCCTATGAAACTAAAAAAACATAAGAGCATAATAAAATTGGCTATATTTTTCTCCATAACTTGACATCCAAAGAGCTTGTAAACGATAAAAAAAAAATGCCAAAAACCACAAAACGATTTCATTTTTAGAAGCAGAAATTTGCAATACACTGAGGACGCTAAATAAACAGTTACAGTGATTGTTACATTACCCAGCACGACCTCTGGTGCCAAGTTGAAATTAACGTCTACGTCAACTCCTTATCCAAGACACATACACACAACTGGTAAATCACTCAGGAATTTATAAAAGAAAAATAAATCCCTGCCCCACCAATTAAAAAGTGGATAATGTATGCGATAATGATCCAAAACTGACCGAAATTTTGCACAATTTTCGTTTAAAGTTTCTGGATAAATTCCCACTTGAAAATACAAGTTCTTAATTCTAAAATATACAGTTTATCTCTTGTTGATATAACTCATCTTTAAGTGGGATATAACACAGTGGTGAAAATACTACACTCAAGTGCTGAAAAAAACCCAAGTTGTGGAAATAAACAGGTGAAAATAAGCCCTGGTAGTAGAACAAACCTAATAATGAAATAAAGCCTAGTACTGAAAATTGACTAGTAATGAAAACACAGCCTAGTGATGAAAATAAAGGCCTAGTGGTGAAATATTTGACAACGATGATCACAATCCAGACCACAAATAATCACATTTTCTGTTACTCTCTGCATTATAATGAAAAATACCTTTGTACAATATATATGATAATTGCATACCCAAAAAAAGTTGACGATTTATCGCATAATATAAATAACAATATGGTATTACGATTATTTTTCTTAAATCGTGACTATAACAACACTGTCATACCACCTTGAAAGATTTCATCCGTGATAATACCTAAAAATATATATATAACCAGCAGAAAAATGAATAATTTTACAATTTTTAAACAGGATACAGTACTGTATAAACATACAATATGATACACGGTATTTGGATATTGAAAACCCAATGATTTAAGAGGAATATCTAAATCTGGTTGAAAAGATTCTAAATATCATCAAATGTTTCACAATCTTACCATTAGATGGTAATGGTTCTTTATAGTCAAGTTCTTCCCATGAAAATAATATAATAATAAAAATCTATTATAAATGGAAATCATTATTATATTCCTTCAGAAAATCTCGCAGTAAAAATTCCATGTGGCAACAATTTACAAGAGTCAAATTACACCACTGAATGTTTCCTTTTGGAATTTCTATGCATGTAATTAACATAAATTCGAAACAAGAAAATAAACTGAGGATTATATATATATATAAATATATTATATATATATATATATATAATATATATAATAACAACTGATGTCCAAAACCTTTCAGAGCAATACTTCATGATCTACTGAAAACTAGAACTGGAATTTAAAAATTACATACATAAAAACCACTTAAACAACGCATAATTAGTAGGACAAATAGTAGTGGAGATGCAATATAAACAAAATAAATTATACATCAGAAATAATGATAGACAAGTCATCAATGATACTTAACATTAACTGTCTTTCAAGAGTGAGGTTACATATAAGGATTCTAGAGGAACACATAAGAATGACCTCAAATTCTATTAATTACATTCAGTACAACGATTCTAAAACTAAATCTGCTCCGCTTATCTCACTACTAAATGAAATACCGAATGGAAAAATATATCTCATTTTCAAGAAATTATTACCATTATTTAATTAAGGATTTATAACCTATCTACACTTTGATTAAACCTCTGTAAAAACTATAAAAATAGAGAAATGTGTATTGTGGGGAAGCAGATCTTCCCTCGCCAACACACACACGCCACACACACACATACACACTATTGCTATACTCCAACTCTGCTCCCGTCTTGGACAGAAAGAATAATAGAAATTGTCATTATTAAATGCCTAGATTTTTTTTCTACACTGCGTAAAAAAATGTTGTTGCTTTACTTAAATAAAATACGTAAATTTTAAACTATTGATAATAATCTTTAAGTGAATAGGATTTTATAATTTTTTAACTGAGCTGCCAGAAAAAAAAAATGGGCACAGCAATCTCCAACCGCCACCAACAAAAGAATATGAACTTAAAATTAGGAATTTAACTAGCCGACTACAATTATGTGTGCATCTTTGTGTTTAATCACTCTGAGAGAACTCGGTGACCATAGCAGTACACGTAGGTCCCGAAGGTCAGCACGTAAGACATCGAAGTCTCCTACGAGTAGCTGATGTCTCCGGTAAGGACATCACCCACTTACGGAACCCAGTCAGTAAGACGCACGACGTCACCAAGAGAGCGCCCAGCAAGCTCAGTCTGTCCGGCAGCTCATGGAAGAAAATTGCCTGCCATATAAACGCAAAGACAACGTCAGCTGTCCGCGCGATGGAGACAGGTCCTGCTTGTTCTAGCTGCAGGGCTTTTGTCAAGAGAATTTGTCCACCGAAACTGAAGGCGCCAATGGCAAGGATTAGATATCGCTCACTGCCGCAGCGGGGGATACATATATCACCTCTGAGCCACGACACCACTGGCGTCAAGAGCAGTGCTACCACCGCAAAGTTGGTCATGATCACAGAGAAGTGCAGCCCCTTAAGCACTCGCAAGATTACATAAACATTAGCGGCGACTACGGTACCACCAATAGCCGCTGCGGCGCCCCACCAATTCTCCAGAGTGTAGGCATCAGAGAGGGAGCCGAAGAGCAGCGGCGGTCGGGCGATAAGAATAACCCCAGCCACAGTCAGGAGAATCACAACACCATGGAAGAGCCCACACGGTTCCCCCAGGAACACTCGCGCAAACACCGCAACGAACACCGGCACGCTGAAGACGATGACTGAGGCGTCGGCGAGTGGCATATGTCTGAAGGCGTAGAACTGTAGCATAAGAGAAGTAGCTCCTACTAGCCCTCTCAGCACCAGCATGAGGCGCAGGCCCCGAGGGAAGGGAGTGTCGCCCCTTCGTATTATGAGCGGCAGAGTCGGCAACAGGATCCCAATAAATCGGAACACCGCAAGCTCCATTGGGCTCACATCTGACAGAATCTGTGGAAATTTGTTTTTATTATGCGAGTGTCCTTTTATCCACTCCCCTCTCTTTTAAACATACATTATAATATTTATATATGTCGTACCGAATAGGTAAAAGTAGTCAATTAGCAATAACTCATTTAAAATTAAGTCCTTTCTAACATTTTCTCTTATACGTTTAAACATATTTTTTTCATTTATGTTAATGTAAAAATTAATAATTTTGTACAAAAGAACCCTCAAGGAAGGTTCCTTGACGCTGATGAGGGGCTCTTGATCTGAGGAATTGGATCTGTGCTCTGGTTCCCTGAATTGAGCCCCCACATTCGCTCCATAATCCTACGGGTTTAGCGCTCCCCCATGATTATAATAATAGTGTACCAAAAGAACCTTAGTAAACTTATCTAACCTTATTATAACAAGCGCAATTTAATTTAGCCTAATCCAACTAAATATATCTTATATAAGTTTTCATTTAATTTGATAATAAAAAGACACAATGAAATGTATTTTTTTCGTTAGGCTCAAAATGATTTTTGCGAAATTATTGCATACAAAAATTTTCGCTTCCCTTATTCGGCAAGAAGAGCGTTGCTTTAAGCCAAAATCCTAAGTTTTGCCTATTCTGCAAGTTTTTATAAAATATATAATTATATATATATATATATATATATATATATATATATATATATATATATATAATGTCGTGCCGAATATGTAAAACTGGTCAATTAGCAAGAACTCATTTAAAATTAAGTCCTTTCTAAAATTTTCTCTTATACGTTTAAAGATATTATTTTTTTCATTAATGTTAAGGTAAAAAATTTTAATTTTGCACCAAAAGAATCTTAGAAAACTTACCTAACCTTATTATAACAAGAACAATTTATCTTAGCCTAACCCAACTAAATATATTTTAGATTTGTTTACAGTAATTTAATACTAAACAAACACAGTGAAATATTTTTTTTCATTAGGTTCAGAATGATTTTGGCGAAATTATTGCATACACAAATTTTCGCTTGTCCTATATGGCAAGATGAGCGTTGCTATTTAAGCCAAGATCGCAAGTTCTGCCTATTCGGCACGACATTATATATATATATATATATATATATATATATATATATATATATATATATATATATATATATATATATATATATATATATATATATTGACACTAACATGCATACACTGGAATATTTTTTTAGAAATGATTTATAAGTCTCCTCCAGCTCCAAGAAGCTGGACGGGAACCGAGAATGCAACAAGCATTTGTCCTCTGGATCGCCACACTGAGACGCTGGAAGAGAGAAGCAGCATGAGTCTCCAGCAGTATCGGTGAACCTAGAATCCGGTTTCATTGAGGAAGCCTGTTGAACGTCATTTTCAAGTTTATATTGTAATGTATATAATGTAAAATATGGATATATGAAGTGCAATGGAATTCAGAGAAAGTATTAACAGTCCACTTGAAGAATATAGACTGTGAAAAAATAATTATGTCACTAAAAGACCAAATTAATGAAATCGTAAGAAACTCATATAAAAGACATTTGACACCACTGTTACATGTATGTTGATGTTTGTGGACGTCAACACTCCTGTGGCCCGTTATCTAAACAAGATCTAATTGAAAAGAAAAATTACAGGAATGATGCATTGAGAAATATACAAAAAAGTTAAGATATGTGTATAATGAATGTAAGTAAAAGTTTGTAAGATTTGCCTGCCATCTTTAATGTCCAGTAGACAAAATATTTTCCACTGACATAGTCAAACAATTCCATGAAGTCTGGAAAAATGTTACATGAGGTAGTGATAAAAAAATAAATAAATATATATATATATATATATATATTGGTTGGACAGGTGTTGACTAGGACCTACTTACACTAGTGGATGGTTCCACTGAGATCCCGCCTCCTGCTTGGACTCGCCTGACTTCAGTATGTAAGCCACTTCTACGGCCGTATGCTGTACTTTCTACAAGAGTGATGGACTAAACACATTGATTCCAAGCTGAGAGACTGATTACCTCAAACTCCTCCTCTCCTTATACCTTTCTACTTTGTATTGGACTGATGAAGCCACTGTGTGACGAAACGTTTCTTCAATAAAGATTACCATATGTTGCATAAATGTCTCAATCTTCAACTAGTCGGTTTTCAAAACCATTTATCACAGGTATAAGGTGACAAAATGAGGCATAAAGTAACAAAAGAATCGATAACGAAGATATTTTGAGCATTGTAAACATAGTTATAAGGTGAGTAAAAAAAAATGGGATAAAGGGATGTTATAAAAAAAATCACAAATAGAAAGACAAAATAATGAACTGAACTCAAAGAGGGAGACGGTAAGTGCTGCAACTACTGGAAATTTTATCAAGTTTATGATAGATAAAACAATGAATTCACCGTGAGAATAATTCCACTCCAGCAATTGCAAACAAATAATCACACACCAGATCTGCCCAAGACAGCAGTTGAAAAAAAAAACTGAAGAACGATCGTGTGTGTAGGTCTTACCTTGACAATGACCGAACACAGTGAGAAAAACAGTGACGAGAAGACTGCCATGAAGAGGCCGACGTGGGGTAGTGCGAACATCCTCCCTGTTACCCTGTTACCGCCACCGTCACCGCCACCTTCACCACCACCGTCCTGTTCACGGGAAATCATCAATTAGCCATCACTCAGATAGCAGCATGTCATAGGAAGATTGCTCACATTGAGATAACCTAAGGATTTATCACAGTCAACCAGGATTCGAAACCAGGTCGCTAGCTGTCCGCGGCGCAGGGGGCAACAGTCTGACGCCTGAAATCCCTAAGCCTTGGGTGCCCTGCAGAGTATAACACATATTGTGCTTCCCTGGGGAATAATTCCATCAGACAGGTGCGGATTGTTGTATACAAAAATAACACTAATACCCTCTGTGTGTGTGTGTGCACGAGAGATGTATTAACGAGTTTTTCTAAGTAAACAAGGATAAAAAAAAGTATGCAGACACATCCTCTCGTATGCAGACAAACGCATGTAAGTAAACAAGTGTGCATAAGTTAGTAATGAGTAGAAGACTTCACATTTCAGGTGTGTCACAGTAACTCATTACTGTAAATCACTGAATATTTATTATTATTATTATTATTATTATTATTATTATTATTATTATTATTATTATTATTACAGGTTTACATACAAAAAACTAACTGATGTAGTCCCTGCTGCGTGAAAATACTTCTGGAATCCTCTTTTTAAATATTTATCTTTTATATAATACGTTTAAATTTGATGAAGGCCCATCCGTACACACCCACACACTACCTGAGTATTAAATGACAACCAGCATGGTTTCATGGAAGGCAAATCCTGCGTCACAAACCTTTTGGAGTTTTATGATAAAGTAACATAAGTAAGAAACGAGAGAGAGGGGTGGGTTGATTGCATTTTCTTGGACTGCAAGAAGGCCTTCGACACAGTTCCTCACAAGAGATTAGTGCAGAAACTAGAGGATTAGGCGCGTATGACGGGAAGGGCACTTAAATGGATCAGAGAATACCTGACAGGGAGGCAACAACGAGTCATGGCGTGTGATGAGGTATCACAGTGGGCACCTGTGACGAGCGGGGTCCCACAGAGGTCGGTCCTAGGACCAGTGCTATTTTTGGTATATGTGAATGAATGATGGAAGGGATAGACTCAGAGGTGTCCCTGTTCGCAGATGATGTGAACTTAATAAGGAGAATTAAAGCAGATGAGGATCAGGCAGGACTTCCAAGAGACCTGGACAGGCTGGACACGTGGTCCAGCAACTGGCTTCTCGAATTCAACCCTGCCAAATGTAAAGTCATGAAGATCGGAGAAGAGCAAAGAAGACCGCAGACAAAGTATAGGCTAGGTGGCCAAAGACTGCAAACCTCGCTCAAGGACAAAGATTTTGGCGTGAGTATAACACCGAGCATGTGTCCGGAAGCATACATCAACCAGATAACTGCTGCAGCATATGGGCGCCTGGCAAACCTGAGAATAGCGTTCCGATACCTAAGTAAGGAATCTTTCAAGACACTGTGCACTGTGTACGTCAGGCCCATACTAGAGTATGCAGCGCCAGTTTGGAACCCGCACCGGGTCAAGCACGTTAAGAAATTAGAGAGAGTGAAAAGGTTTGCGACAAGGTTAGTTCCAGAACTAAGGGTAATGTCCTACGAAGAAAGGTTAAGGGAAATCGGTCTGACGAAACTGGAAGACAGGAGGGTTAGGGGGACATGATAACGACATACAAAATACTGCGTGGAATAGACAAGGTGGACAGAGACAAGATGTTCCAGAGAAGGTACACAGAAACAAGGGGTCACTCTTGGAAGTTGAAGACTCAGGTGAGTCACAGGGATGTTAGGAAGTATTTCTTTGGTCATAGAGTGGTCAGGAAGTGGAACAGTCTGGCGAGTGATGTAGTGGAGACAGGAAGCATACATAGCTTTAAGACGAGGTATGATAAAGCTCATGGAGCAGGGAGAGAGAGGACCTAGTAGCGTTCAGTGAAGAGGAGGGGCCAGAAGCTGAGTCTCGACCCCTGCATCTACAATTAGGAGAGTAAAATTAGGTGAGTACACACACACACACACACACACACACACACACACACACACACACACACACACACACCTAGAAAGGAATGATCTCATCAACAGCAGCCAACATGGTTTCAGGAACGGGAAATCCTGTGTCACAAACCTACTGGAGTTCTATGACATGGTGACAGCAGTAAGACAAGAGGGAGAGGGGTGGGTGGATTGCATTTTCTTGGACTGCAAGAAGGCGTTTGACACAGTTCCACACAAGAGATTAGTGCAAAAACTGGAGGACCAAGCAGGGATAACAGGGAAGGCACTACAATGGATCAGGGAATACTTGTCAGGAAGACAGCAGCGAGTCATGGTACGTGGCGAGGTGTCAGTGGGTACCTGTTACCAGCGGGGTCCCACAGGGGTCAGTCCTAGGACCAGTGCTGTTTCTGGTATTTGTGAACGACATGACGGAAGGAATAGACTCCGAAGTGTCCCTGTTTGCAGATGACGTGAAGCTGATGAGAAGAATTCATTCGATCGAAGACCAGGCAGAACTACAAAGGGATCTGGGCAGGCTGCAGACCTAATCCAGCAATTGGCTCCTGGAATTCAACCCCACCAAGTGCAAAGTCATGAAGATTGGGGAAGAGCAAAGAAGACCGCAGACGGAATACAGTCTAGGGGGCCAGAGACTACAAACCTCGCTCAAGGAAAAAGATCTTGGGGTGAGTATAACACCAGGCACATCTCCTGAAGCGCACATCAACCAAATAACTGCTGCAGCATATGGGCGCCTAGCAAACCTCAGAACAGCATTCCGACATCTTAATAAGGAATCATTCAGGACCCTGTACACCGTGTACGTTAGGCCCATATTGGAGTATGCGGCACCAGTCTGGAACCCACGCCTAGCCAAGCACGTAAAGAAACTAGAGAAAGGGCAAAGGTTTGCAACAAGACTAGTCCCAGAGCTAAGAGGTATGGCCTACGAGGAGAGGTTTAGGGAAATCAACCTGACGACACTGGAGGACAGGAGAGAGAGGGGGGACATGATAACGACATACAAAATACTGAGAGGAATTGACAAGGTGGACAAAGGATGTTCCAGAGATGGGACACAGCAACAAGGGGACACAGTTGGAAGTTGAAGGCACAGATGAATCACGGGGATGTTAGGAAGTATTTCTTCAGCCACAGAGTAGTCAGGAAGTGGAATAGTTTGGGAAGCGATGTAGTGGAGGCAGGATCCATACATAGCTTTAAGCAGAGGTATGATAAAGCTCACGGTTCAGGGAGAGTGACCTAGTAGCGACCAGTGAAGAGGCGGGGCCAGGAGCTTGGACTCGACCCCTGCAACCTCAACTAGGTGAGTACACACGCACACAATGGAGCAGGAAGAGAGAGGACCCAGTAGCAACCGGTTAAGAGGCGGGGCCAGGAGCTAGGACTCGACCCCTGCAACCACAAATAGGTGAGTACAAATGAGTGAGTACACACACGCGCACTCAGTGTATAACCTTTCGTTGATTAAATTACATACCCACGTATGAGTATGTATGTAGAGGAGAGGGAATACCACCAGGAAATATACACCGAGAGGTGTATAAATCTGGGTGAATATATAATGAGTAGTTACTTTAATCCCAGTTTATTATTACCTGGAGGTGGACACGTTACCTGCGTCCTTGATGATCCTCGCGTAGTTGATAGGCTTAAAACCCCATTAATCAACCAATACCCACCTGGTGGCGCCGTGCCCCAAGGGCACGAGGGAGGGGCGGGTGCTCCCCCTCTACTAAGGGCTCCAGTTCAATCCCTGTGTCATGGAGGTCAGGGGCGGGGCGGTGATGAGGGCGGTGGAGACGTAAGTGTTGGTGGGTGTGACGCACCATCCTGGAGGTGGGTCACCGCGGGCTGCACACTCCCACCCTGCTGCTGCTGCTGCTGCTACTGATGCTGCTGCTGCGTCTTCTGCTGTAGCGCCGCCACTCACACACACCCATCCTGCCTGCAAGAGTAGAGAAGAGTGAGCCATATAACAAGCCAGACATTAACTTGTGTTACGATCGTTAACTTAACCTAACATTTAAGGTTTAAATAATAAGATATTGCAAGGACCCCAATGGAAATAAGCCATTTTGTCTGACTTTTTTAGGTTATGCTAGGTAATTTACACTATGATAATTGTACTTATGTGTACCTGTGCCTAAATAAACTTACTGTATATAGAATCTAGAAATCTGCTGCAGTGTGTGAAAAAAAAAATATTAGAATACAGAAGGACGTGTTGCTAACTTTGTACTCGTTGAAGATTGAGACACTTATACAGCATATGGGAATCTTTATTCAGGAAACGTTTCGCCACACAGTGGCTTCATCAGTCCAATACAAAGAGGAAGGCGTAAGGAGATTAGGAGTATGAGGTAATCAGTCCCTCAGCCTGGAGTCGATGTGTTCAGTCCATCAATCTTGTAGAATGTACAGCATAGGGCCGTAGACGTGGCTTATATACTGCAGTGAGGTGAGGTGAAGCAGACGGAGGCGGGGTCATAGTGGTACCATCCACTAGTCGAAGTAGGTCTTCGTCCAAAGGTTGAACAAGTGTTGAAGAATTCTTTGTAACAAGGTCCCATGATGCTGCAGTGTCTGACAGTTGTGATGAATGGTTTGAAAAACCGACAAGTTGATGAAGCCACTGTGTGGCGAAACGTTTCCTGAATAAAGATTCCCATATGCTGCATAAGTGTCTCAATCTTCAACTTGTCGGTTTTTCAAACCATTCATCACAACTTTGTACTCACCTATATAAGAACATAAAAGAGAAGGAACACTGCAGCAGGCCTACTGGCCCATGCGGGGCAGGTCCAAGTCAACCCCCGGCTTAGACCAATGGCCCACCCAGTCGGGTCTCCTCCACTCAAGGAAGGAGCACGGCATCTGACCCAGCAGCACCAGCTAGTCAGATCCAACTCACACCTACCCATACCCACTCATGTATTTATCCAATCTATTTTTAAAACTACACAAGATCTTAGCTTCTATAATGGTACTCGGGAGTTTTTTCCACTCATCCACAACTCTATTACCAAACCAGTGCTTTCCTATATCCTTCCTGAATCTGAATTTTTTCAGCTTAAAACCATTGCTGCGAGTCCTGTCTAGGCTAAATATTTTTAGCACGCTATTTACATCCCCTTTATTCATTCCTGTTTTCCATTTATACATCTCAGTCATATTCCCCCCAATACTACGCCTTTCTTGAGAGTGCAGATTCAGGGCCCTCAGTGTATCCTTATAGGGAAAATTTCTGATACGTGGGATCAACTTTGTCATCCTCCTCTCTACGTTTTCCAGAACATTTTTATCCATTCAGTAATACGGTGACCGAACATTAAAATGGTATGAAATACCGACAGATTGTTAGGTAAGACACATATGCAACAGTTAGGTATCTTTATTTCGAAACGTTTCGCCTACACAGTAGGCTTCTTCAGTCGAGTACAGAAAGGTTGATAGAAGCAGAAGATACTTGAAGACGATGTAATCAGTCCATCACCCTTAAAGTTTTGAGGTGGTCAGTCCCTCAGTCTGGAGAAGAGCATTGTTCCGTTGTCTGAAACAATATGAAGTTGAAGTGACAGAATGGGGCCTTTATATAGTGCCAGGAGGTGAGACGTAGGTTGCTTTGGGAGGGCAGGTCCTTCTCAAACCCAGCCGTTCTCACTAGTAGAGGTTGTCGAAGTGGTCTGTACCAAGATACCCTTGTGTTGCAGTGTCTGACAGAATGAACATTAAAATGGTATGAAATACCGACAGATTGTTAGGTAAGACACATATGCAACAGTTAGGTATCTTTATTTCGAAACGTTTCGCCTACACAGTAGGCTTCTTCAGTCGAGTACAGAAAGGTTGATAGAAACAGAAGATACTTGAAGACGATGTAATCAGTCCATCACCCTTAAAGTTTTGAGGTGGTCAGTCCCTCAGTCTGGAGAAGAGCATTGTTCCGTTGTCTGAAACAATATGAAGTTGAAGTGACAGAATGGGGCCTTTATATAGTGCCAGGAGGTGAGACGTAGGTTGCTTTGGGAGGGCAGGTCCTTCTCAAACCCAGCCGTTCTCACTAGTAGAGGTTGTCGAAGTGGTCTGTACCAAGATACCCTTGTGTTGCAGTGTCTGACAGAATGAACATTAAAATGGTATGAAATACCGACAGATTGTTAGGTAAGACACATATGCAACAGTTAGGTATCTTTATTTCGAAACGTTTCGCCTACACAGTAGGCTTCTTCAGTCGAGTACAGAAAGGTTGATAGAAGCAGAAGATACTTGAAGACGATGTAATCAGTCCATCACCCTTAAAGTTTTGAGGTGGTCAGTCCCTCAGTCTGGAGAAGAGCATTGTTCCGTTGTCTGAAACAATATGAAGTTGAAGTGACAGAATGGGGCCTTTATATAGTGCCAGGAGGTGAGACGTAGGTTGCTTTGGGAGGGCAGGTCCTTCTCAAACCCAGCCGTTCTCACTAGTAGAGGTTGTCGAAGTGGTCTGTACCAAGATACCCTTGTGTTGCAGTGTCTGACAGAATGAACATTAAAATGGTATGAAATACCGACAGATTGTTAGGTAAGACACATATGCAACAGTTAGGTATCTTTATTTCGAAACGTTTCGCCTACACAGTAGGCTTCTTCAGTCGAGTACAGAAAGGTTGATAGAAGCAGAAGACTGATTACATCGTCTTCAAGTATCTTCTGCTTCTATCAACCTTTCTGTACTCGACTGAAGAAGCCTACTGTGTAGGCGAAACGTTTCGAAATAAAGATACCTAACTGTTGCATATGTGTCTTACCTAACAATCTGTCGGTATTTCATACCATTTTAATGTTCATTCTGTCAGACACTGCAACACAAGGGTATCTTGGTACAGACCACTTCGACAACCTCTACTAGTGAGAACGGCTGGGTTTGAGAAGGACCTGCCCTCCCAAAGCAACCTACGTCTCACCTCCTGGCACTATATAAAGGCCCCATTCTGTCACTTCAACTTCATATTGTTTCAGACAACGGAACAATGCTCTTCTCCAGACTGAGGGACTGACCACCTCAAAACTTTAAGGGTGATGGACTGATTACATCGTCTTCAAGTATCTTCTGCTTCTATCAACCTTTCTGTACTCGACTGAAGAAGCCTACTGTGTAGGCGAAACGTTTCGAAATAAAGATACCTAACTGTTGCATATGTGTCTTACCTAACAATCTGTCGGTATTTCATACCATTTTAATGTTCATTCTGTCAGACACTGCAACACAAGGGTATCTTGGTACAGACCACTTCGACAACCTCTACTAGTGAGAACGGCTGGGTTTGAGAAGGACCTGCCCTCCCAAAGCAACCTACGTCTCACCTCCTGGCACTATATAAAGGCCCCATTCTGTCACTTCAACTTCATATTGTTTCAGACAACGGAACAATGCTCTTCTCCAGACTGAGGGACTGACCACCTCAAAACTTTAAGGGTGATGGACTGATTACATCGTCTTCAAGTATCTTCTGCTTCTATCAACCTTTCTGTACTCGACTGAAGAAGCCTACTGTGTAGGCGAAACGTTTCGAAATAAAGATACCTAACTGTTGCATATGTGTCTTACCTAACAATCTGTCGGTATTTCATACCATTTTAATGTTCATTCTGTCAGACACTGCAACACAAGGGTATCTTGGTACAGACCACTTCGACAACCTCTACTAGTGAGAACGGCTGGGTTTGAGAAGGACCTGCCCTCCCAAAGCAACCTACGTCTCACCTCCTGGCACTATATAAAGGCCCCATTCTGTCACTTCAACTTCATATTGTTTCAGACAACGGAACAATGCTCTTCTCCAGACTGAGGGACTGACCACCTCAAAACTTTAAGGGTGATGGACTGATTACATCGTCTTCAAGTATCTTCTGCTTCTATCAACCTTTCTGTACTCGACTGAAGAAGCCTACTGTGTAGGCGAAACGTTTCGAAATAAAGATACCTAACTGTTGCATATGTGTCTTACCTAACAATCTGTCGGTATTTCATACCATTTTAATGTTCATTCTGTCAGACACTGCAACACAAGGGTATCTTGGTACAGACCACTTCGACAACCTCTACTAGTGAGAACGGCTGGGTTTGAGAAGGACCTGCCCTCCCAAAGCAACCTACGTCTCACCTCCTGGCACTATATAAAGGCCCCATTCTGTCACTTCAACTTCATATTGTTTCAGACAACGGAACAATGCTCTTCTCCAGACTGAGGGACTGACCACCTCAAAACTTTAAGGGTGATGGACTGATTACATCGTCTTCAAGTATCTTCTGCTTCTATCAACCTTTCTGTACTCGACTGAAGAAGCCTACTGTGTAGGCGAAACGTTTCGAAATAAAGATACCTAACTGTTGCATATGTGTCTTACCTAACAATCTGTCGGTATTTCATACCATTTTAATGTTCATTCTGTCAGACACTGCAACACAAGGGTATCTTGGTACAGACCACTTCGACAACCTCTACTAGTGAGAACGGCTGGGTTTGAGAAGGACCTGCCCTCCCAAAGCAACCTACGTCTCACCTCCTGGCACTATATAAAGGCCCCATTCTGTCACTTCAACTTCATATTGTTTCAGACAACGGAACAATGCTCTTCTCCAGACTGAGGGACTGACCACCTCAAAACTTTAAGGGTGATGGACTGATTACATCGTCTTCAAGTATCTTCTGCTTCTATCAACCTTTCTGTACTCGACTGAAGAAGCCTACTGTGTAGGCGAAACGTTTCGAAATAAAGATACCTAACTGTTGCATATGTGTCTTACCTAACAATCTGTCGGTATTTCATACCATTTTAATGTTCATTCTGTCAGACACTGCAACACAAGGGTATCTTGGTACAGACCACTTCGACAACCTCTACTAGTGAGAACGGCTGGGTTTGAGAAGGACCTGCCCTCCCAAAGCAACCTACGTCTCACCT